TGGCTGGGGTCCCCCGTGCGGCCCCGTGCTCCCCCTGCTTCTGGTGGAGAAGGCTCTGGGTAGCCTAAAAAAGGGCCCTGCGCCCCTGAGGAAGGGCAGCTAGTGGGGGCAGGGAGAGAGCAGTCTCAGCTGTGCATTCAGTGTCGAGCTGGGCACTGGGGCTTCTTGGGTCTTCTAGAGCCCAGGCTTCCCTTCCAGGAGATGGGCAGGGGTTGTCCTGCCTAGAGATCAGAGCTGGCAGGTGGAAAGGAGGACCAGAGGATCTTTCTCCTACCTGGCTCGCGGTCCTCGTCCTCCTTCCTCCTGAGTCTGGAGAGGCTGGAGGTGGGGGTGAGGCGAGGAGAGAAGGTAGAGACAGTGGTGCTGGGCAGCGTGATTGGGCAGGTTCTATGCCGGGCCACTGTGCTCCGTCCACAGGCTGCGTACACAGCCCGTGCCGTGCGAACCCGATAGGATCTTGCGTTCCGAGTGGGAGAATCAGAGCAGGTCTCGCCTGCTCTGTGTGGGAGGGGGTGGGCTGCCAGTGAGCCCTCCCAGCGTGTCAGGAGAGCGAGGCAGGCAGCAGAGGGCCCAGCTGGAGAGCTGTGTCCCGAGGGAATCTCGGCTCCTGTGGGCCCTGTTTCGCTACCTGAAAAGTCAGCACTTTGTTCCAGAGGGCCTACGAGGGGCTTGTGTCCAAGGACCCTGATGAGTGGGGTCGGCTGGGGGTGGGAGGGTGGGCACGTGGGCGGCCAGGGCACCTTGGCTGTCATCTGGTCCCCCTCCTCCTGCACGGGGAAGGTAGAGGCGCCAGGGATGGACAGACCTGGGATGTGGGAGAGGACGGTCTCCTGCGTGCTAACCACGGGACTTGGGGTCCTCTCAGGCAGCCCCGGCACCCTAGCTGTCTGGAACCCTCCTCTCCTGTGCCCTGGCCTGTAGCTGGTGTGAGACTGACCACACAATTAGGAAGGGATGCTGCCAGGAGAGGACAGTGTCGCCACACACACCCCTCGCCCCGCCCCAAAGCCTGGCGGTTTTCTTGTCCGGCCGCAGGCCCCGGGCATGCAGGCTGCGGAGTGGGTCAGAGCCCGCTTGGAGTGGGAGGAGGACTTTGATGTCCCAGCTCGGCCTCCTGTCCCCCTCCTGCCGATGGTACTGTTCTCTTTGGTGGGGACGGGTAATAAGTGGCCGGCTCGTGGGCTGCCGGGAGTCATCGGTTCCAGCTGGCGGTGGCTTCGGGGGCAGGAGGGGTTGAGTGTCAGGCTGTGCTCCGTGGATGTGAGATGCAGGGGCTGAGAAGCTCCCAACTCCCCCAGGACATGTGAGACCAGCAGAGGCCACCTCTGTCCTTAGGCAGTGGGAGAGGGGACTCTTACACACTGATGGCCGTGAACTCCAGTCTGCAGATTGAAAATGCCAGGCAGAGCTGGACCGAGGCCGGACAGGGAGGACAGTACCCCAGACCTTCCTCCTTCGAAGGGCCCTGACATTTCTCCCAGGCACATACCAGCCCATAACAATGAATCTGAGCCCCCTGGCCCCCAGGCCCGGCTGTCCCGGCTCATCTGTCAGCCACCCGATCCGCTGCACCTGTTCCAGGCCCAGCCTGTGAGCTGCCACTGCACTGTAGCTATGAATAGGGTGGAGGGCAGGGGGCCGCAGGGGCACTCTCAGGGTAACGTGGGGGGCAGCTTTGCTCTCAGGCTGAGAAAGCAGAGACACTGAGCGTGTGCGGGGAGGTGCTCAGATTGAGGGGTACGCGGTGGGGCTGCAGGAGGTGGTGGGTCGTAATTAGGACGGCACCGAGGATGGTGAGGTGCTGTGGGGTGTGCGCTTTTCGCTGGCCGGGGTCCCCCAGGACCAAGCAGTGGGACCATAGGGTAGGTTCTGGGGCAGACGTTGGACCGCCAATGTCTGAGATGAGGCGTCTGAGAGTTTCATCTCTGCCCCATCTTCTCTCTCTCTCTCTCTCTCTCTCTCTCTCTCTCTCTCTCTCTCAAGCACCAGCTCACCTGTTCTACCTGCTCCCCAAAAAGTCACACGCTCCATGAGAGCAGAGACAACACTGCAGCCTCTTTGGGCCCCCCCTGTCCTGGCCATGCTGGGCCAGGCAGGATAAACGGGCAACGGAGCGACTGGAAGGACCAGGCGAGTGGTAGGCGATGCCAGAAGCCCCTGGAGTGTCTTTGAGCCGGGGCGGGCTCCGAGGACTGGCAGGGGTGCAGGGGGTGGAGGTCCCCCTTGTGAGCACAGGACTGCTCCGCACCCAGAGCCGCCGAGAGGGGAGTTTCAACAGCCCCGTGCCACTCTGTGGAAGGCACATCGCATGCTGGGCCTGAGCCCTGGGAGAGCTTGGTTCCTGCCTCGAGTGTGCTTACCATCTGGAAGGGGCAAGGCCAGGCCCTGCCAGTACAGGGTGGTGACGGGCACATTCCATCCCCGCAGGGTGCTGGGCAGCTGCTACCTTGTGCGCTGGGGAGAGCCTGGAGGGGCCATGCCAGCCCTGCCCGAGCCCGGTGCACAGTGCACGGATTCACATTTCTTCATTAACAGTTAGGTGATTGTTTTCGTATCTATTAGGAGAAACAGAATCCCTGATGTCACGGATATGACTGCTTAGAATAAGAATGAGTTGATTTGAAAGAAACCGTTAGGGGTGGAGTGGGGTGTGTTGTGAGTGGTACGTGAATAGCGTCAATCAGGAGGAGGACGATGGTGGCTGCATCCGGGAGACATCAGTTCGCGTCCTGGCCTCGCCCCTCGTCCGGGCGCCTGCCCTCCCCAGGAGCCGGGCTCCCTGCCAGCTCTTTCCCAGACATGGTCCACGTTCCTGCCCTGCGCTCATGTATCTCAAGCACACACGAGCTGTCCCCCAGGCCTTTCTGAGGAAGTCCGACAAACTGGGTCTCCGAGGAGAAGCATGTGACTCAGTAGAGAGAACAGGAGACAGAGAGCTGGTGCTGTCCCAGGGGCCAGGCTTAACTGCACAGCCCGTCACACGACCGTTAATTCCCAGCCCACCGAAGGCCTGACCCACCTCTGCAGGCCCCTGGGCGCCCCTGCCCTGCTCCACGCACACCACAGATGGGGGAGACTGCGGCTTATTTTGGAGTTTGGTTTTCTCCTTTTCTTTCTTTTGGCCACGCCGTGCAGCTTGCGGGATCTTTGTTCCCCAACCAGGGATTGAACCCAGGCCCCCAGCAGTGGAAGTGCAGAGTCCTAACCACTGGGCGGCCAGGGAAGTCCCTGTAATTCACTTTCTTCTTTCTTCTTAACGGCCCCATGAAAGCCCTTGCTGGGCACACTGAAATGTATGCCATCTAGGTCAACATGGAAACAGCCTTTATTTTCATCATAAAGGTAACACATCCTCAGGGCTTCCCTGGTGGCGCAGTGGTTGGGAGTCCGCCTGCCGATGCAGGGGACGCGGGTTCGTGCCCCGGTCCGGGAGGATCCCACATGCCGCGGAGCGGCTGGGCCCCGTGAGCCATGGCCACTGAGCCTGCGCGTCCGGAGCCTGTGCTCCGCGACGGGAGAGGCCGCGACAGTGAGAGGCCCGTGTACCGCAAAAAAAAAAAAAAAAAAAAAAGTAACACATCCTCATTCTGCTTTATGACCTGCTTTTTTCTTTCTTTCCGCTCAACATTATGCTGTAGTCAGTTCACAATAGTAAATACAGGTCCCTGTTGACACGGTGTGTGGCTCTATAATATTTCTGCTGTGCCCAAGACAGTTGCCCCTCTGCCAGTCTAGAGGGTCTTCTTGCTCTTGGAAAACTTCTTTCCCCAAAGGAGAGAACAGTAACGACTTTGATGGCCGGGGCCCGGCTCTGAATCCTGCTGGAAACTTCCCAGGGTTCTGGGGCTCCCTGTAACTTTGTGCAGAAGAGTCCTTGGGGTCAGAATCCTTATCGCGGTCAGGAGCTCCCCTGCGTTTGTGGGTCTGCACTCTGGGTCCCGCTGGGCAGTGATCTGGGACGAGTTGTGTGGATGGGAGGAGACGCTTCCCCCTAAGAAGCCTTTTGTGATCTGTTTGCACACTGCTTCTGAGTCTGAAGCCGCTCTCTTAGCACCCTGACTCAAACGGGGTGATTTGCTGTGGAGCCCAGGTTCCGGGGTGGGGACCCCTCAATGGTTGGGGGCTTCACCGAGGCACCGAACAGCCTCACCCAGCGCCTCTTGGCTGGGTGCGAGAAGCAGCAGAGCTGGAGCCTGAGGACCCAGGGCCCGTGACTCATCCACTCTGTGGCCTTGGGCAAGGCCCGCGGTCGGGGAGCCTGAGATCAAACTGAGGCCCCCGTCCTGCCTTGTCCCCCTCGCAGGGAGTGGGTGTGAAGTCATGAGTCTTACTACCCACCTTTCCTGGGGGGGCAAATTCAAATCGCCCCAACACACAGCAGGAGGCGTCCTGGACCCTGCCTTCAGGCATGAAGCTGATCAGAGGCCCGGGGGCTCCCACGCCAGGCTGGGGAAGGGGTTCCCTTTGGCAAAGGGGCTCGGTGAGAGGGTGCTAACCAGACTTCTGTCGGGCACAGAGCTCTCAGAGCAATTGCAGAGGAGCCCAGCGGAAGGAGGCCGGTGTCGGGGAGATTGGTCCGGAGGCAGAACAGAGATGCAGAAGGTCAAGGGTGGCCGGGCTCGCGGTGCCCCAGAGATGGCGAGAGGCCAGGCCCCCAGAGCCACTGCTGAAGGGACACCGGCAGGGCCCTAATGCTCTAAAGACTGATTTGGGGCCCCGCCTGCTGGGCTGTTGGTACCCGGTGGGCAGCAGGGCCGGGAGCTGATGCAGGCCCAGGTTCTTGCCATTGTTTGGGGCACACGACCTGACTTTACACCAAGCCTGCGTGCGGATGGACGAGGGAGCTTTCCAAGGTCCTGCGTCCACGTTTTTTCTGAGCCCCCTGATGGCGTCCTGGCCCTGGGGCCTGGGCTGTGGCCCCAGAGGCCTCCTTGGTGCCGCCCCCAACAAGGCCCCTCTGAGTTACCGCCCCTCCTTGGTCTCCCCTTGTCTCCCTCCAGGCAGACCTCAACACCAACATCGAGGATGAGGGCAGCTCCTTCTACGGGGTGTCCAGCCAGTACGAGAGTCCCGAGAACATGACCATCACCTGCTCCACCAAGGTCTGCTCCTTTGGCAAGCAGGTGGTGGAGAAGCTGGAGGTGAGCACGCGCCGCCGCTCGCCCGCCTGGGCGCCAGACCGTCGCGCCCCTGCAGCCCGGGCTTCTCACCTCTGTGCCCAGATATGTCTGAATGAATGCAGTCTGACCCTCGCCGTGCCTCTTTGTTTTTGTTTTTTTTGCGGTACGCGGGCCTCTCACTGTTGTGGCCTCTCCCGTTGTGGAGCACAGGCTCCTGACGCGTGGGCTCAGCGGCCATGGCTCACGGGTCCAGCCGCTCCGCGGCATGTGGGATCTTCCCAGACCGGGGCACGAACCTGTGTCCCCTGCATTGGCAGGCGGACTCTCAACCACTGCGCCACCAGGGAAGCCCCTCGCCGTGCCTCTTCATTGACAACCCACCTCCCGTCCAACACAAGCAGAGCACCTGCCCCCCCCCCCC